GGTAAACAAACAAGCATGGAAATGGAAATTATTGTGGCCGGAAAAATTATCGAGCTAATTTTTTTATTGACTATCGCGACAGGCCTAATCCAGAATAATTACAGCTAGCCGGAAGCTGTGACTAACAGCTGGCAAGCTACTTGTTAGCCATTTAACTTGCTGACAACGCTACCTAGTCAGAAGAACCACCAAAATCATACATTTGAACTGCTCATTCAAATGAGCAGTTTGGCAGCTGTACCGGGCGAGATCGGTTGTATATGTTTCTGTTTGGAGTGACGTAGGTGGCATCTATGAACAGTCATTCAAATTAATAAAATATGAATGTTGAAAAAAATATGAATATGAATGTCTTCATTGAAATTAATAGGGTAACATCCAACAGGGAAATGCCAACATTGTACTCATTTAGAAACTGTGGAGTATATTTTATTTCAGTGCACAATAGCCTACAGTCAAGAAAGAAACCAGCTTTTTCAGTCTCTCAGAATGGTCAATCAGAATAATTTCACAATGCAATGTTTATTAGGGAAAACATCCAGTAACATTTATCACTTTGTTTAAGTTTCTGAGACACAGACTTAGCCAAAAGGATTTTTTTTAAGTTAAGTTCCAATATCTCTTGATTCACACACTCCAGCCCAGTCGGTGGCGGTAATGCATCGTTAAATTGGTTTGCCAACCGCCATAAAAAAAGAAAGAAAAAGAAGATCCTCATTGGGAAGTTGTGTTGTTCTGGTGAACATCTTTGAGCGTTTCTTCCTGATATTTTGTCTTACTGTGGATTACTCTTGGACTGTTTATTCTCTTCGTGATTCTTGCTGTCTGTCCTGGACTGTTTCCTATTGGACTGATTTATGTAAGTTTGCTTTCTGCCCTAAATTTATGCCTGTTTTCGGGATTACTAGTTGTTGCTCTCTCTCTCTCTACTGTTGTGTTTGCTTAAAGCCGTTTAAAAAAAAGAAAAAGAAAAAAAATCTCCACATATCATTTTGGTGGATTAAGTCTGTGGAAATTTAGACACCTGTGTGACCTGTTAGATGCAGCTATTGTTAGTGAGGACAGTAATTCTTTTCTCATGCATGCTAAAGGAGAAAGATAGTGAATCTGAAGGTGTGTGTGTGTGTGTACGTGCGTGCGTGTTTGTTTTTAGGGCTGAATGAAATTGGGAGAATATCCCAGATAGCAGACCAACACTGAATCAATATTAGTGCATTAACCAAAAGATCATTGAATCAATGTTGAAATTTAACATAGATTTTTCATTAGGTTTGCACTTTGCACCCTGAAATAATGTTATTTCAACGATGAAAAATCAATCAAGATGGACATAAAATCAATATTATTTCAACCTTAATTAAACCACTTATTTAACATTGAATCAACATTAAAACAATATCAAATCAATCTTGCTTTATGTACATCAGGATTCTATGCCATTTAATTAAGTTTTTTACTCCTTTCAATAATAAAGGGATGTAATTAATATGGTTTTGATTTGAATAAAAAATTCTCTAAAAGTAAACAAATTTAAACCTTCAGTTTACATGCAAATGTTTTTATTTATGACCCCACACTGTTTCAACAGTAATTAACACCACATTCAGGAAAAACAAGTGGCTCTAATGGTGACTAAAACCCATGAACATTTTGTAAGTGCGCCTTTGTAAAAAAATATATATGTATATTGCTTTGTGCATCTTGAGACAATATAATGATGACACTGGCATTTTAAGATATATCAGTGCAAGTTGCTTTCAGTTAAAACAGCTCAATCATGCATTTTAGTCTTGAATTTAGCTTAATTAGTCTGTGAAACTGGAGGGAAAGAACTTAAAATACAACTTAAGCAAAAAATATATTAAAATTCTCGACAGAGTTACTTAAAACACATGGAATTATTTATTCTGAACTCATAAAGTAAATGCCAGGAGAAGATCCTGGAAAACAACAACAACAACATAAATGCAAACGTGCATTTGTAAAATTGAAGTACAAATTGAAACTCACCAGCAAAGACAGAAAGAGTGCTACCGACTGAAACACTACAACAGTTTAGGACTTGGAGGACTTTCAAGGATTGAAAAAAAGGATCCTCGGTTAGGATCTACTCGTCTGATGCAAAATGCATGTCCTTATTAAATTGATACTCTGATGAACTTAGGGGTTTCCACCACGAGCAATGTCCCCAAGCAATTCAGGGGCCGCAATGCAGTTAACCCTCAGGTGCTCTTCGTTTCGGAGTCACACTTGTTATCTTCCCGGTCAAAAGTGACCGGACACCTAAAAATGAAACTTTCTCCATCCCAGTAAAACCAATGCAATTTATTTTTGTTCTATAATATTTATTCTTTTTAATTTAGTATTTTGAGACAATTTAAATGAATTTATTAATATTTATGCAATATTTATGGTTTATTTTTGCCATAGAAAAATATATATTATTTTCTGTATATATATTATTTTCTTCAAAAAAATATTAATGCAGTATTTTAGTTTAATATAGAGTCTAGGCCTTCAGAAAAAAATATTTTTTGAAGAAAATTAGCACCATCTGGTTACAGTATAGAGAAAAAGCGTAGAATCATGGTGTAACCACTAGATGGCATGTACAGCTCTCTATTGAGAGGCATGTGAATTCCCCAGCTGTTCATGAACACTTTTTTGTTGTTGTTGTTGGTGGATTTGTATATATAGTTGAAACAATCTCAAAAACTATTTCTTGTAAAAAAATGACAAAAAACAAATATTCACCATTTTTTTTCTTTTTTTTTTACAATTTCCCATTCATTTCCTATGGGGTCATTTTTGACCAAAGACCACAAGTGTGACTATTTTTTTTAAGACCACTTAGCATGCTCAGATTATGACCTCAATTTTTCTGTGTGTTCACATACATAATGCCATAAAAGTCACCAAGTTTCATAACATCGCGATGAAGCTGTGTTTTTTAAAAATTCAAAACATACTTTTTGTAATCAAAATTTATTGGTGTCTATGTGTATAAAAGTGTGTTTGTATGTATGTGTGTGTGTGTGTGTTGGTGGGTGTGTCTGTTTTGCACTCTAGATGTTGTAGAGTGTCACCCCTTTCTTGCGGTGTACTTTTTTTTTTTAGAATTGTGGCCGATTTGTAGATTGTACATACAAAAATTCAGAGAATTTTTTTTTGTATCAATTTCCCATTCATTTCCTATGGGTTGTCATTTTTGACAGAAGAGCAAAAGTGTGACACATTTTTTTACGACCACTTAAATTGCTCGAATCATGACCTCAATTTTTTTGTGTGATACCCAATGCCATAAAAGTCACCAAGTTTCGTAATTTTCTGAAGAAGCTGTGATTTTTAAATATTCAAAACAGATTTCTTTAATCACAATTTATTGGTGTTTTTGTGTATAAAAGTGTGTGTGTATGTGTGTGCGTAGGGGTGGGTATGTCTGTTTTGCACTCTTGATGTTTTACAGTGGCACCCCGTCAATGCTGAGCACTTTTTTTCTGCATCGTGGCCGATTTGTAGATTGTACACACAAAAATTCTCAAAGTTTTTGTGTTTTTGTCAATTTCCCATTCATTTCCTATGGTCGGTCATTTTTGACCGAAGAGCACAAGTGTGACTATTTTTTTTACGACCACTTAGCATGCTCGGATCATGACCTCAATTTTTGTGTGTGTTCACATACCCAATGGAATAAAAGTCACCAAGTTTCGTAACATTCCGATGAAGCTGTGATTTTTAACATTTCAAAACATACATTTTTTCGGTCAGAAATGACCGAAGAGCACCTGAGGGTTAAACAAAATTTGAGGCCTCCTTTTCTCAGCCATCTCATCCCTTGTTGTAAGGCATCTAAAGAATACACAAACAAACAGAAAGTTAGAACTGCACAGTGTTCTTAAACCATTGATTGGTAGTAATGTATGACTGGCAGAAGGTGGGTCATAAATATATGTCAGAAATGTGACTTCTGCAAATGTACAACAATTTTAAGTGCTTGATCAATTCAAATAAAAGGATTAGTTCACCCAAATATTAAAATTACGTAATTAATGCCTCACCCTCATGTCATTCCAAGGACCTCCGTTCATCTTCGGGACACAGTTTAAGATATTTTAGAGCGCTTTCTGTCCCTCTAAAAACTACGACTTTATTCAGCATTGTATTCCCTTCCCCATTTCTGTTGTTAATCCGTGTTCACAAGTCCAATAAAGTCGGAAGTTTTTGCTATTTTTGGAGCAAAATGTATTTTCGATGTCTCAAAACATTCTAACTAACCCACTGATGACACATGGACTACTTTGATGATGTCTATTTCCTTTCTGGACAAAGACCGTATACTGTAAATGGGTCAATGACGTATAAGGCCTTTGAGAGGCCCATTTTTAAAATAGTTGAAATAATAGTATATTTGGTTATTTTCTAAACATTTGGAGTGTAGTCTATACATGCATGCGTGTGAACTTCAAACAAAGATATTTTAGTGCTTTTAGACTTCAATGAATCGGGCAACGACCTTAAAAAAGTCATTTGGGGCGACCGTAATTTATCTTAAAATTAATAAATTTCCTTTACATAAGTTATATTTTAAGAAGTATCAGTAATTAATTGAACTGTTTAAGAAAGATATAATCATGTGTCCTTTCATTTATTGCAAATTATGTTAAATACATTTTTATCTATAATGGCAGTGTCACCCTCATAAAACAATTACATATTTGTTTTACTCATATAATCCATAAAACTGATTTAAAATGTGTAGCTAAAGTATCCACTTATTGATGTTTTACCAATGAATTATATTTCAACCAAAATGGACAGACATTAATTTTTGAATTTACTACAGAATTGAATATGGTTGGTTACCCCACATGACAAGTGGTCGCCCCACATGATGAAAAACAGCGGGCAATTAAGACTACTCAATGATTTTGATAGTTAAAACACATTTAATGAAATTTTATGAAGAATCAGCATTTTAACAGTTAACATTAACAGTTTCCTTACTATTTCAATTGACATAACCATCAAAATTAATATTTTCAAAACGAATGCATTAAACGCTTGGACATAACAGTGAACAGCATTTTCATTTTCATTACATTAAATCACTTAAACGTACAATGTTTGCATTTTTCTTACGATTTCACTTAACACTTGAACATAACAGTATTCTGCAGACACATTGCAGGCATTTCTTTAACCCCAGCAATTTCTGAATGATACCCAGTCTTGTCAGGTCAACTTTGAGAAGCGTGAAGTTGCTGGCTCGGGTTCTGAAATGACAGCATGAACATCTTTCCTAAAGTAGAAAGTAACATCTGGAGTTTTTGGCCATAAGAACAAGTTCTTGTCACCAGACTGTCGCATACAGCTTATCTGAAGTTCCTCTTCCACAACCTTTAGAACCTGACCTACATATGGAAGCTCGTCGTAGGTTACTATCACAAACTTTCCACATAGGTCTTGGACACTTTCTTCTTGCCTAGGTGGCTCAGGTGGAGAGCTTGAGGGGTCCTCAGGTTTCTCGGTTTGCTGTATGGTAGCTTTCAGGTCTACCATTTTTGGCTGGTAACAAGGGCATGGACTCATCTCTAAGCGCTTGCAGAAGCAAGATACTTCCCTGTGTGTTATCTTTGCAGGCTGTGATGACACAACTTGGTGTATCTTCATGGTGCCTTTTACAGCCTCCAAATTGCCAGGAATCAACTCGTCACATTTTTCAATGCTCTCACTTGTCACCCAGTAGAGAGTGATACTTGAGCTTCTTTTAGTCAGCATCTCATAAAGAGCTTTTGGTGTCTGCAGCTCACCTCCTCTGTTAACATAGAGATCCGCTTCTCTCTTTATTGCCCCACCAATTCCATCTGGGGCCCCCTTTCCATGAGATTTTTCAGTGTAATTCCAGGTCACATTTGTAAATCCTGAGAGGAAAGGCACAGTACTGAGCAAGTAAAAATTATTTTTATTTCGGTACTGTGTTACAGGCCCGTCACTCAGAATATGGAGGGTAGTGATTTGTGGGAAAGATTCCCGAAGCTCTTTCAAGATCGGCTCTAGATGTGCCCACACTGCCCGTTCATCATGGCGAAGGCAGTCAGACAGTGTTGCATAGGATTTGGTTCCACGGACAGTGTACAGGACTGCTGTGTGAATCGTGGCCTGTTGTCTACTGCCGCCAAAGTGAAAGGACTGGATCTCAGTGCTTAGCTTACATGCACAGTTTTCTGAAAAGTCTATGTGCAGCACAGCTTCACACTCTGTGATGTTTTGTTTGAGGAGGCGGAATTGCTCTGCCTGGTGGAGCCAGTTGAACTGGTGGACTGCCAAGGCTTCTAGTTTTTGATGGAAAAGCTCAGTCAAGTCCTTTATGGTTCCAGTCGAGGTCTGTTTGATCATGTTGGAAAATGTTTTTTCTCCATTAGTGGATGTCACCCTCTTCCACTGCTCCCAGGTGACTTGTGTGCTGGTCTCTGTGTCAAGGCACTTTACCTGTTCAAAACAGCACTTGGTACATGTGCGATCCATGCAGGCTTTATTTTTGGTGTCACAAACTATCATGCCCAGCAGCTCAGAGATGCTTTTTGTTTGAAGTACTCCTCTGCTGTAGAGCTTGTTGGCCAGCAGGTGCACATTTTCATGCCCCATACATGCACATGTCTCCCTATCTTGGGCCCTTGGCTCTGTTACATAGAATGGCCGTCTTCGGGCGAACTGCCTGTAAGATAGATGGAGACTCTTATCCATCTCACTGTTGTAAAGTGTATGCAGCTCTTTGAGTGGCTTTGTAAGCACACGTCTTTGATACTTCACTTTGTTTTTGGTGATGGTATCTTTTTTGCCGGCTAAAAGGCGACTGTTCTCATCTCTTGTCAAAAAATTAACAAAGTGCTTGCGCTCTATGTGTTGCCATTTTTTTCTTTGCTTTGGGTTTGAACTTCTCACTTAGCCGTACCCTTTCTTTAGCCCTCATCTCACTCTTTCTGGCTTTTTCCTTTTCCTTTATCATCTCTGCTAGTTTTTCTTCCAGTTTTCGGTTCTCCTCACGTAGTTTACGATTCTGAGCCTGCAGTCTCTTTCTCTTTCTTTCTGGCTTGTCGGGTGTTTTCTCTCTTTCTCTCTCTGGTGTAGAGGACATCGGTGGATTAAATTCCTCCACTAGAGGTAGGGGATTCACCACAATTTGCCCTGGATTCTCCTGCTGCTCATAAAGCCCTATACCAACTAAAACTGGTGGGGTGTTTTCTAAGGATGGTGGTGTCATTTCCAGCATTGCCTTTTCTATCTTCTTCCTCTCCCTGTAACTTTTTGATGCAGCATTCCACTTAGCTTTCTGTTTCTTCCTCTCTCTCTCTCTGATAGCTCATCTGACTTCTTGTATTTGATTGTGCCCTTTTGCTTTCTTCTCTGGTAGCTGAAACAAATTATTGTATAATAAACTATTGACTAGTTTAGTCAATTTAATAAACTATTAAACTAGTATACTGTCACTGATTCTGGTGGCCTAACATTACATTTTATCTACTGTTAACTACCTATAGATTTTACCTTTCTTTTTTCCTGGCAAGATAGTCAGCTCTTGCTACAGGATCTGCATTGATCCGCTGCCTGTAGCGAGCAGTCTTTTCTTTGCTCGTTAGTGGGGCCATCTAGAAAAAAATGTATATTTAAACATAAACAGAGTTAGAAAAGGAATTGGAAAAAGTAGAATGACTGCTTAATATTCACACATGTCTCTGATAAAAACATAATAATCAAAAATAAGTAAGCTTAGTCCTCCCTTAAGTAGGATGGAAATTATTGAAATTTAGAAAAAAATATGTGGTGAAATGTGGAAAGTTATTTAAAACAACTAAATATAATGAATGAAAACATTTGCATACAGAAACTACAAATACATGATATGTGTTTTCTATCATTTAAGCAATCAGTGGAGGTCGCCCCAAATGATGCTCGGTCGCCCCAGATGATGTTTTCAAGTTTAATCAAGTATAACAGGCTAATGCTTAGCTATAGAACCCAAGCTAGCTTCTTCTCACCACATATCACTGACAATTTTACATTAAAAATAAAGATTTGTGTATAAAACTTATTATTTACAGTTTTAGGTTGGTCGCCCCACATGATATCAAAATGTGACGTATACACTGCAGCAGTTTTAAAGAGGATTTGTTTGTAAAAATGAGAGTGACTATTTACCTGCTAGTTCTGTCTGTGGGACCCTCACCATTAGGCTGGCTGATGCAACATCCTCTTTGAGATGATTGTCAAAATAAAAGTCCCTTAATTGTATTTTCTTGATGGTCGCCCCAGATGATATTTCAGACAATGATCATCTTCGGACAAGTTTTGTTTGTTTATTATGATTGAAATATGTGTACAAATATTTCATAACTTTGTCAATCAATGGAAAACAAGTATAAAATTATGCCAAATAGGTAAGGATTATATTTTAATTATTTTAGTTTGATTTAAAACCAGTTGTCCAAACAGAAGTCAAGGCCGGACGGTCGCCCCACATGATGTTTTCCCACTTCAGGTGGCAGAAATGGCCAATAAACCAATTATTTTTAAAGAAATAAGAGTGGGCACATGTATAAGGGAGGTGGTAGACATACATGTTATAATTTTATTCATTTTAATGTTTATTAATTGGTAAAAAGTTCAGTCGGACAGAAAAAGCAAGCGTCACGTCATTGACCCAAATACATTTTTAAAGGAGGGACAGAAAGCTCTCGGACTAAATCTAAAATATCTTAAACTGTGTTCTGAAGATGAATGGAAGTCTGACTGACGGGCCTGGGACGACATGAGGGAGAGTCATTAATGACATCATTTTCATTTTTGTTTGAACTAACCCTTTTTTTCCTAATTAAAAAATGTTTTACCTGTGCCTCATATGCCCTCAAAACTTCTTCCATCTTCTCGCCAAAACTTCCAGTCTTCCTCTTTTTGTAGAGCTTCAACAGCTGAGGTGTGTATTTGTCAAGAGCAGCATAGATGCAATACGGTAGATTTTGATTGGTGATCCTGTGGAATTCACTGTAGAGCTGCGCAGAAAATAAAAGCACAAGGTTTTTTTTTTTTTTTTTGTTTTTTTAATAAACTCGCATCATTCATTAACTTCGAGCCATATAAGACTGTACGAAAAAAAAAACTTGAGACAAATAGACAAAACCATATTAAAGGGGACATATCATGCAAAATCCACTTCTTTAGCCCTTAAAGCAGAACTAAGTAACTTTTTTTACCTTAACTGAACAGCTTTGGAGTCATTGTAATGTTAATATTACTGATTTCGTGTTGAATGGTGATCGTCTCGCACCCCCCTGGTGCCTGTGAGCCGCAAAACCACCCTTGCAACTTTGGGCCGGCGGCTCGCCGGCCTCAGTGTTAGGAAGTATCGTGAGATTTCAGGTCTCGCGAGGTAACGAATTGCTTTACGGCACTATACGCGCACACGCATGCGTACACGCCCCCGGCCATCCAGGAGCCGGCTAGCTATAAGAAAAAGGTAACGCTAGATATTGAATTCTTCAAGTTTTCGTGATGGCTGATGTAAAAGAAGAAGAAGACAGCTCGGAAGTGTTTATCAGAGAAACAAAGAAGAGAAAACGGACCGGCTTTTTCAGAATAGAGAGAACTGAAAGAAAGCGAAACCTGCAAAACCGATGCTGACCTGGCCTTCTTGCTGTTGCACTTGTAAGTATCTTTATAATAAACTGTGTTTAATGTTTGTATTTCTTGTAATTGTGACCTCGGTAGTCGGGATGTTTGCTATTGTCTGTTTTTTTTTTTATTATTATGCTCGCTGTCTGTTACCGGCTTACTAGTACGTTAGATACTGTAACTTAGATGTTAGCATTTTCATTAGCAAACAAACTTGCTTGTTTTCTGTAAGTATAAGTGTTTTGTCCGTTCCTCTATCAGGGTTTATTTGTGTTTCTCAGATCGCATATAAATCGATATGAAATTCTACAAATTATGCATTAGTTTAGCTTGTCGTCAGCCTCAGAATTAGTAACGTTATACTGTGCTGCTGACTTGATAATGCATAAACCGACACGAGAGCTGCTAGCTAATAATGCAACTTTTTTATATTTATTTACCCACATTGACACAAACAGAACTATAAGTAAACGATAAATTGCATTGCAACTTCACACATGCAACTCCATCTGTGCTATTTTGACCTTGTCTATAAATGATATGTTGATAAAAGATTGATACATTTTCTTTTTCCTTTTTAGCTACAAGCGTTGGCAAGTGTCATCAACTCCGAGGCACCCCAGACCACCAGTACCACCGGTCTCAAGCTTCAATAATAAAATAAACAAACTTGTAATAAACAAATTAAACGTGTTTGACTTTCTTTGGTCAATCGTTACGATAGACAACTCGGATCACCAGAAAAATGATGAATGTAACGTAACATGTATTTTGATAATGCATAATCAAAGTAGCTGTAGGCTAAACTAAAAATAAATAAATAGCGGAAATATTTCTTATAGTATTATTGATTTTTAACCATAATGTTACTGATAACGTTTGGTAACACAATACAAATATACACTATCTCAACATTTGAATAATATTGTTCTGAGAATCGTACCTCAGTGGATATGGCTCGGGCGTCAGTTTGGTTTGAAATGTGCTGGGGACAGAGACGCATTCGGAAGGGCATTTTCAAAAGTGCTGGGTAACGCATTCATTCTTTTTTCTCTTTCGAGTAGGTAATGTTTTGAACGACGATGTCCATAGCTTCCTGATGCACATAAATAAAAATGAGCACAATACAGTGATGGTCCGGCCAGAGGTTCCGCACTCGAATAGTTTTTATTTCCCCCTCATCAAAACCAATAATGTTTATCAGTGGTTGAATTGATATAATGTTTATCAGTGGTTTTATATGTTTTGATGAGTGGGGAAAAATATACGAGAGAGGAATTAGAAACCATGAGAAAAAGGGACACGTTTGTGTGCATTTTGATTTGTGATTTCACCGGAAAGAATCTCCGCAACGGATTGAAGCGCGTTTCTGAGAGAAGCCAACACATTTCAGTGCTAGATCGCCTGTTATTTAACAAACAAATGAAATGAATGCTGTTAACTGGAGATGTTTTATTTGCATTGGTACATCTGTGCCGCGAGATGTTTCAAAAGTGGTGGGGACAAAATCCGTTTGTTCGCCGGCTTCTCTGAAAACAAATTCACATGGCCTGCCTGAACGAGATGGGAGGGGGAGTTGACAACGAGTTTACGACAGTTTTCTCATATATATTTACTCCGAAACTGTAGGGGGAGCTCGAGAGAGAAACCTGCGAGAAAACAGCAAAGAAGTTTCCAGTCTTACTGAGCGCTGCTTTAAATGCATTTTTTTTGTATATTTGGAGTGTTTATAAGTACAGAAAAGATGAAATTATTCTCTTCAGGTGCTTCTTTTATATCTTTATATTCTGTTTTGGTCATATTTTACAACCTGTTCAGATTTTTCTGTTTTCTATGACGTTTTTTGAACTACAGCGTCACCGTATTTGCAGCAGAACTGACAAATAAAGACATTGACTACCGGCCCAAAACTTCGAGCAATCCGCCATTATTATTTCTCGCTCCGATTTTGTAGTCCGAGCTCAATGATGCAGAAGTTACGAGAGGGCAAGTCAAAATGTTCGGTTGTTAGTGACCTGAAGCACTTCAAGGATTCCCACTTCAACAACCTCCGCCAGTATAAAGAAGGGTTTGCCGATTGACTTCGTCTGAATGAGAGGTAAATTCCTTCTAACTTTGGAAACGACGAACAGAGCATTTCGATAAGCTGTAAATATCGTTAATAAAAATAAAGTACTTTCTTAAAACACATGGTGGTCATGGTTTAGCAGTACCTTTGTCTTTCTTTGTTTTTGATTTGAAGTAACGTTACACGTCTGCTGTATTATTGTTCTTGAGTTTCATCTTTTCTCTTTCATCTTTCATCTTGAGCTTTTCTGATGCTTTTCTAAACGTATCGTATTGTCAATACAGATTTTTTTGTGGTAATATTAGACCGTAGTCATTTATCTTGTCAGTGTGCTTGTTTTAACAAGAGAAATAGGCGACTTTCACTAATAACACAAAACAGTTAACTCGCATACCAATACATCCATATGGTTTGGCAGGTTCATATGCAGGTTCGTCGTCTCAATCAACTCGCTAGCTCTGGCTCGAATATGTAAGGCTTGATGGACAAGTCTTCTGTTGTTGACATTTTATTAATGTGTGAATAAAAATGTTCTTTGAAGGTATCGTATATAATCGTATATCTCTAATCAAACTACTAGTGATCGACCGATATATCGGCCGGCCGATATATCGGGCCGATATTTGAGGTTTTTACGTGTATCGGAATCGGCCGATACACCGCTGCGCGTTCGCCGATGGTTTTTTTTTTCCCGCCGTTATTTATAGACAGGCGGCCACGGGCAGCTCCGTGCTGCTGGAGATGCTGCAGTTCACGTGCCCCGCCCTCCTCCACTAGCAGAGTGCAACCTGCTCTTCACGAGAATGGTAACTTAAACTTTCAAAGGATCTTTTAAATGTTTGACTCCTGAAATATTGTCAAACACTTTGAAAATGGAAACACGTCGCCCTATAACTGTTATGTGCTTGCAACTAAGCAAGTTTGTGGGTCCAAATGGAAAACGCGAATGCCTCGTCTATAAAACTTAACTGCTTGCCATTGTATTAAGAAGCTGCAAATAGTTAAGGTGTAGGTTATCCGTTCAGTATGCATTAGGACAGTCTATGAATATTCTACATTCGAATATCTATTAATTTTGAAGGTGAAAATTAATATTTGAATGTGGAAAAACACGCCCGCGGTTGCAGACTAATAACGTTACCACAGCTGCACAGCTCGCTCGGAGCGCTCACTGTCGGTTCTATACTGTGAAACTTCAAATCACTGTGAATGAACTGAAGCCTGCTATATTTGGGACAAGAGTCGCGACTCGCAACCTTAAATTGCTTGCACAAAACTCTTGTTTAGCACTCAACATTTGTTTGTTGTTCATTTAACCGACGCGCAGAGACCGTGAGGGCGAGAGAGAGAGAAAGTGCCTGAGCGAGTCCAGGGCGAGACAGAGTGAGCTCTGCGGTCTTGGCCATTAGTTGATTTACTTGCTTTTTAATACGTTGTCAAATATGTTTAAACTCAAATAAACCATCTAATACTAGTAGTTATGTCTCTTTTTATTAATGTGTCCTGTT